TAGACTGACTGACTGATATACTGACTGACTGACTGATAGACTGACTGACTGATAGACTGACTGACACACTGACTGACTGACACACTGACTGATAGACTGACTGACTGACTGACTGACTGACTGATAGACTGACTGACTGACTGACACACTGACTGACACACTGACTGATATACTGACTGACTGACACACTGACTGATATACTGACTGACACACTGACTGATATACTGACTGACTGACACACTGACTGATATACTGACTGACACACTGACTGATATACTGACTGACTGACACACTGACTGATATACTGACTGACACACTGACTGATATACTGACTGACTGATATACTGACACACTGACTGATATACTGACTGACACACTGACTCATATACTGACTGACTGATATACTGACTGACTGACTGATATACTGACTGACTGACACACTGACTGACACACTGGCTGACATACTGACTGACACTGACAGACTGACATACTGACTGACACTGACAGACTGACATACTGACTGACTCACTGACTGAGACTGACTGACTCACTGACTGAGACTGACTGACACACAGACTAACTGAGACTGACTGACACACTGACTGACTGACACACTGACTCACTGACTGAGACTGACTTACTCACAGACTGACTGACACTGACTGACTCACAGACTGACTGAGACTGACACACAGACTGACTGAGACTGGCTGACACTCTGACTGACACACAGAATAACTCACAGACTGACTCACAGACTGACACTGACTGAGACTGACTCACATACTGACTGAGACTGACACACTAACACAGAGTGACTCACAGACTGAAACTGACTGACACTGACTGAGACTGACTCACAGACTGACACAGTGACTCACAGACTGACTCACTCACAGACTGACTGAGACTGGCTGACACACTGACTGATACACAGAATAACTCACAGACTGACTGAGACTGACTGACACACAGACTGACTCACAGACTGACACTGACTGAGACTGACTCACATACTGACTGAGACTGACACACTGACACAGAGTGACTCACAGACTGAAACTGACTGACACACAGACTGACACAGACTGACTCGCAGACTGACACTGACTGAGACTGACTCACATACTGACTGAGACTGACACACTGACACAGAGTGACTCACAGACTGAAACTGACTGACTGACACGGACTGATACTGACTGACACACTGAGACTGACTGAGACACTGACTGACACAGTCTGACTGAAAGTAACTGACACACAGACACACTGACTGAGACTGATTCACAGACTGACTGACTCACTGACTGACACACTGACTCACACACACAGACTGACACACTGACTGACTGACACACTGACTGACTGACACACTGACTGACTGACACACTGACTGACCGACACAGACTGACTGACCGACACAGACTGACTGACACACTGACTGACTGACACACTGACTGACTGACACACTGACTGACACACAGACTGACTGACACACTGACTGATATACTGACTGACTGATATACTGACTGAGACTGACTGATATACTGACTGACTGATATACTGACTGAGACTGACACACTGACTGAGACTGACTGATATACTGACTGACTGACTGAGACTGACACACACTGACTGACTGATATACTGACTGACTGAGACTGACACACACTGACTGATATACTCACTGACTGACACACTGAGACAGACTGACACAGACTGACTGAGACTGACACACTGACTGAGACTGACACAGACTGACTGAGACTGACACAGACTGATTCACTGACTGAGACTGACACACTCACTGACTGAGACTGACTGACACACTGACTGACTGAGACTGACACACTGACTGACTGACACAGACTGACTGAGACTGACTGACTCACAGATTGACTTACTGTGACTGACTGACAGACACTGATACATACAGGCAGACACTGACTGACACTAACTGACTGATACAGACAGGCAGACACTGACTGACACTAACTGACTGATACAGACAGGCAGACACTGACTGACTCATAGACTGACCAACACTGACTGACTGATACAGACAGGCAGACACTGACTAACACAGACTGACTCACAGACTGGCAGACATAGACAATGACTGACAGAGACAGACACTGATTGACTTACTGATACAGACACTGACTCACAGACATACTGACTGACAGACACTGTGTGACTAACTGATACAGACAGACAGACTGACAGACACTGACTGACTCATAGACTGACAAATACTGACTGACACAGACTGACTCACAGAAGCAGAGGAACACAGGCAACACTCCAGGATCAAGAAGGTAAGTTTATTTCTGGATACACCACCTCATAAAGTGCAATGTTTCGGCTCAACGGAGCCTTAATCATGCATAAGGGATACAACATGATAAAGTGCTTAAATAACCCACACCCCAATTAAACTAATTAATAGGGAGGTCCCTGTTCGGAATCCGAACGAGGTGGAAGCAATCTGCTAATACTCCCCCTGAATGGCGTTCGTCTAATGAACGGGCTGCCACCCAGGGTTGGCACACGCCAAGGCTTCCCTTGCGGTTTGTGGTTTTCACACCTTGTTAGTGAGGTGTGAACATTCTAACTAAACATTCAAAATGGGGTATTGGGGAGACGAATAGGCTTTGTTTGTACGCGGTCTCCCGAATGGGGAGCAGGTCAAACACACACGAAATCACAAATCCATGGGGAACATGGGCAAAATACACTTAATACTTCTTAAGGTTTAGCGGTAATCCCTCTACACAGACTGACCGATACTGACAGAGACAGACACTGACTGGCAAATACTCACAGACTGACTGATAGACACTGACTGACAGACACACACACTGACTGACCACCACAGACAGACTGAAAGATACTGACTGACAGAGACAGACACTGACTGGCAAATACTCATATACTGACTGACACTTACTGACTGATAGACACACACACTGACTGACCGCTACAGACAGACTGAGAGATACTGACTGACTGTGACTGACAGAGACAGACACTGACTGATAGACATAGACAGGTAGGCATCCGTGAGGTCCAGGCTTGTAAACTAGTCACCTGGATGAGGTAGATCTCCATGGAGATGGATTCCCTCCATCTTGAAGTGTCGAAATATCACAAAAGTATTTAACTGACAGAGGTTGATGATTGACCTGAAATCCCTGGTCTACGTCTTTACTAAAAAGTTGCTGAAGAAGCCACAATTGTGATTGACAATCCATAGCTATAATTGTCCCTATACGACTGGGATGTTGGGAGGCCAGTGATCTGGTAAATGCAGATAGCAAGTAATCAGGCCCGGACTGGCCATCGGGCATACCGGGCAAATGCCCGGTGGGCCGCGATGGCCGTGGGGCCGAGGCCGGCAGGGGATCTCCCCGGCCGGCCCCTGCAGGGCCAGCGCTATCCGATCGCCGGCCCTGCATAGTGCCTCCGTGGGCCGGTGGGGAGATCAAAGATCTCCCTCACCGGCCCACAGACAGTGAGATGCGGCCGCGCCGGCTGGTGAGGGAGGGAGGACCCGGCGGAGCTCCAACAAGCAGCTCCGCCGGTCCTCTCGCGGGATTCTGAGCGTTGCCGCGGCAACGCTCAGATCTCGCGAGAGTGAACTCTAACCCGCAGGTTAAAGTTCACTCTCACCACTGGACCACCAGGGAAGGCAGCATGGCTCCCAACCCCCCAGGGAGAACTGATCTTCTCCCTCCCCCCCCTCCCAGGATAAAGGTAAGAAGGGAGGGGGGGATATAATTTTTTATTTTTTTTTTATTAGTAAAAAAAATATTTAAATTTAAATAAAAAAATACATTCACACACACAGCACCCCCCATACACAGCACCCCCCAGACACACACAGCACCCAGGCACACACAGCACCCAGACACACACAGCATCCCCCAGACACAGCACCCCCCAGACACAGCACCCCCCAGACA